AAGAAAAACAGGTTTAATGGTAAATATTCATATATATATATATGTATATATATATATTCATAGTACTATCAATCATGATTGTGCAGTACTATGAAAAAAATCAAGCCTGCATCTCTAGTTTACACAAAAATGTAAAAAGAGATTTGTATAAGCATAAAACCACAAGCAAGCACACCTTTCACTGAATAAATTAAAACTTTAAAGATTACCCTGGTGTGGCCCCTCTACCTGGACAGTTATCTCCAAGACATAAAACACTTTTTTTCTTTTTTGGTTTCCTACCTCTGTAGACTAGGCCGGCCTCAAACTCACAGAGATCTGCTGGGATAAAAGGTGTGAGCCGGGGGGCTGGAGAGAGGGCTCAGAGGTTAAGAGCACTGGCTGCTCTTCCAGAGGTCCTGAGTTCAATTCCCAGCACCCACATGGTGGCTCACAACCACCTACAATTCAATCTGGTGCCCTCTTCTGATATGTACACTGGCAGACCACTGTATTTATAATAAATAAATAAATCTTAAAAAAAAAAGGTGTGAGGGGGGTTTGGGGGGAGGGCACGGGAGGAGGGGAGGGAAAGGGAGAGGGACCTGGAACTGACTTGTGAAGCAACCTTGTTTCTTATCTAAATTTAAACTGGAAAATAAAATAAAATAAAAATAAAAATTAAAAAAAAAAGGTGTGAGCCAACACTGCCTGGCCCACAAAATGTTTTTTGGTGCTACTTCATAACTGTAATTTTGCTAGTTATGAATTGTAATGTAAATATCTGATATACAAGCTCTGTGAAAGGGTTGTTTGACCCCTTTGGAAGGGGTCGTGCCCCACAAGTTGAGAACCAATGTTCTATACTTACTGAACTCCAAGTTGCAGGGCTACAGCCAGCAATCTGTGGCTTACCCGGTTCTCCAGGTGAGAGTTAAAATACACAGGAGTTTTAAACAGATAAAACTTTTTTCCAAAAAAATGTATCAAAATGGGTCTGAGTCGGCTATTTTGTTATTTTAAAAATAACTATTTCAATTGAGAGCCCTCAATCAGACAAGTTACAAAAATTAGGGAGAAACCTATCAGAGGGAAGGAAGCAGTGAAAGGACACGGTGTGATGATGACTGGTGGCTGCCTTGGGGTGGATGAGCAGGGGAAGGCCCGGGAAGGACAGCTTTAAGGACAGCTGAGAACGGAAAGCCAGCCACAGCAGGGTCTGGCTGGAAAAGGACGGTGTGTTAGACTAGAACAGGCAAAACGAGTTGAGAGAGACATATGGAGTCCACAGCTGAGAGGTGACTCGTGACAGAGGGAGTGAGCAGGACCAGGCTGGAAAAGCAAGGTGACAAACATCAAAAGACTATGATGGCCCCTGAAAGCCGCCCGAGGCAAGCAGATGCAAAACCGCTGGCCAGGGAAGCCATAACCTGCACCAAAAGACCTGGAGCCCAAACTGAGGAGGGGCAGAAACTAACAAAAGCACCTCACGAGGAAGAGATGGTATTTGAGACTGGCACCCAAGGGCAGCTTCTGGTGACTTCTCCATCAAGCTACTGAGACTTTATGGTTTTTCTCTTTGTTGCATTGGTCCTCTCCCAATCGCAGAGGGACCAGAGATGACGAGTTCTGAGGGACTAGATGCTGGCGTGGGACAGACACTTCTGGGCAATTAGAAACTTCTCAACATTATTATACTTGAAGGTGAGGTGGAGTGGTAGAAAGGGCAAGAGAGGAAGTTTAAAAAAAAAAAGTATTGACATTAGAATAGACTGGAATCCTTATACCTGGAAAAAGCAAGCATGATTCAGAATGGGTCACCACAGAAGCTATGAGGCTACATATGAGAGAATATGTGTTCAGAGACAGAGAAACATATGACTAAAATGTCACAACGAATTTCTTTGGTCGGGGAATGTTTCTTCCTTTGCTTAATTTTTTAAAGAACACTATTTGGCTCACAAACAGCACTCTGTGGTTTGGAAGGCCTTTGAGGTGGCTCCTGAAGGTCACTGGTTTGGGCAGGTGGGGAAGCATGAGAGTCGGCTCAAGAAGCTGAGACTCACAGGGCGAATCTGTAGACTGGGCTGTGTGTTGTAATCTTAAGAAGCGGGGGGGGGGGCACGCTAAGATGCAGCAAGTGGTGTTATGTTACGTTCAGGAAGCGTTCTCCACTTGCTGCACAGTGAGATCAACGATTAATTAATGGGGCCTCCTGAAACTGAGAAGCTTCTGTAAGGCAAAGGACACAGTCAGCAAGACAAAAAGGCCCCCACAGAATGGGAAAAGATCTTCTCCAACCTCACATCTGACAGAGGGCTGATTTCCAAAATATACAATTAACTCAAGAAGCTAGCCATCAAAACACCAAACAATCCAATTAAAAAGTGGGGTGCAAATCTAAATAGAGAATTCTCAATAGAGGAATCTAAAATGGCTAAAAGACACTTAAGGAAGTGCTCAACATCCTTAGCCATCAGGGAAATGTAACTCGAAACAACTCTGAGATATCATCTTACACTGGCCAGAATGGCTAAAATCAAAAACACCACTGACAGTCTACGTTGGAGAGGATGTGGAGAAAGAGAACACTCCATTGCTGGTGGGAGTAGAAACTTGTACAACCACTCTGGAAATCAGTATGGCAGTTTCTCAGGAAAATGGGAATGAGTCTACCTCAAGATCCAGCAATTCTTCTCCTGGGCATATACCCAAAGAATTCATACAACAAGGACATATGTTCAACTATGTTCATAGCAGCATTATTCATAATAGACAGAACCTGAAAGCAACCTAGATGCCCCTCAACTGAAGAGTGGATAGAGAAAATGTGGTACATTTACACAATGGTGTACTATTCAGCAGGAAGAAAAAAAAATGGACTCTTGAAATTCACAGGCAAATGAATGGAACTAGAAGAAACCATCCTGAATGAGGTAACCCAGTCACAAAAAGACAAACATAGTATGTACTCACTCATTTATGGATTTTAGGCATAGAGAAAAGGATTACCAGCCTACAATCCACACCACCAGAAGAGCTAGAAAACAAGGATGACCCCAAGAGAAAAACTCATGGTCCTCCGAAGAAGGGAAGGTGAACAAGAACCCCTGAGCAAGTTGGGAGGGGGGATGGAAAGAGAACAGGAGAACTGAGACAGGGGAGGAATAGAAAAGGGCAAGAAAGGAGATGCCTTGATAAAGGGAACAGCACGGGTTTGGAGAGAGTTTTGGCACAGAGGAAATGGTAGGGGATCCACAGGGATAACCACAACTAAGAATCTAGGCAGCGGTGGAGAGGCTGCCTGATGACTACCTAGGTTACCATTCCTAGAGCCTTGACCCAGTAGCTAATGGAAGCAGAAACAGGCACCCACAGCTGAGCACTAAATCATACTCCCACAATCCAATTTCGGAGAGGGAGATGACCAAATGGACCACTGGCAGAAACAGTTGACCCGACCTAATAAGAGCACGCAGACCCTACTCGTAAAACGGGGGAACCAGCATTGGACCAAACCAAGCCCTCTGAATGTGGGTGCCAGCTAGGAGGCCAAGGCAGTCTATGGAACCTCTAACAGTGGAGCCAGTGTTTATTCCTAGGTCACAAATGGTCTTTGGAAGCCCATTCCCTATGGAGGATACTATTGCAGCCCAGATACGGAAAAGAGGGTGTGGGCCCTCCCCCAAATGATGTGATGGACTTTGATGATTCCTCGTGGAGGGTCTCACTATCCCTGGGGAGTGGGTGGGGGGTGGGTTGGGGAGTCATGGGAGGGCGAGGGAATGGGGGATGGATATGTAAATAAGAGTGCTTCTTAAAAAAAAAATAGATGCAGCAAGTGGACCCTTTGGAGCCAGTGACTTCATTCTATACTTCAGAGCCTCCAAAACTGTAAAATAAACCTCTGTGCTTTATAAATGACTTATCCTTAGAGATTATGACACACCATCACAGAGCAGACCAAGACAGGTGTCTAGCACAGGAAACAGACTCCAGGGTGCTCAGCAATAAGCTCTCACACCTAACAAGCCCTTGATATAGCTAAAGACACTGCACTGTGACGCATGGTCCACTCGGGATGTCCTCGTGCTGGGCCACGATAGGACCCGAGAGCTAACAGATTACTTTTTGTTGCTGAAAACAAGGATTTGGGGGTGGGGGTGGGAAGGCATATTTTTTAGTGAAGGTGAATTAATTTTAAAAAATGGTTGAGTAGCTAAATGAACAAATTTGAGAACTAAGAAAAATGTTTCCTGGCTGTGGCCAGTTCTCCTCTTGAGATTCTAAAAGGCAGGAAGGCACTAATTACTCCTTTCATAAGCAAAACAAATTGACTATTAGCCGATTTAATCACATGTAGTGCATGACAAACCATGGAACATAACAGTGATTTGCATTTATCCATTCTAGTACACCCTTGGCATAAAGCAGGGTGAGTTTTCAATGCATGATTATAAACAATGACACGATTTTCAATACCATAACCTCTGACAGGGCTGCTTAGAGGCACCCAGACCTCCTAACTTCTCATTCTCCCTCTTTTTCACATTTACTTATTAATTTTGTATATAGTATGCCTGCCTGCATATCTGCCTGCAGGCCAGAAGTGGGTACTGAATTCATTACAGATGGCTGCGAGCCACCATGTGGGTGCTGGGAATTGAACTCAGAACCTCTGGAAGAGCAGCCAGTGCTCTTAACCCCTGAGACATCTCCCCAGCCCCAATTCTCCGTTCAAGGCTAGGTTCATCATCTGGAACCGGTGCTTCTGCCTCTATTGCTGTTCGCTGACATTCTTACAAGCCCATCATTTCCACATCAGACTGAGTTTTTACAAAGTCCATGTCATTATGCTCTCTTTCCATCAAGTTGCCCAGGATTCCTGTTTTTCATTATTGCTTTTTGGTTTTCCCCAATAAAGAGAACTGCAAACAGGCACGTGGCTCACAGAAACTGACAGGCAGGCATCAGTTGCTACATAGGGGAGGTGGAAGGCAGGTCAAATGAAACAGCAGAAGTCCTTTCAGGTTAGCATTTTATTTAAACCAGACAAGCACCATGCTTACCAAAAGACTCCAAAATAAACATGCGGTATGAACTAGCAGAGACTGAAACCACAGCTCAGGAGTAATGCCAGTTGTTGGTTTTCTTAAAGAATGACAGAGAACTGTTGAAGTCCACAAGACTAAACCACTGATGCTTCAAGCCTCCTGAATGAGATTATAGTGGACCATCAAAGTCAGTGGGACTTGCCCTGGCATGTTAGTGATCTCAAATAATATTCAAGTATTTATATTCTAAAAAGCAAGAAATTGTATTACAAGCTTAATGTAGTTGTTTTAAACATTACAGGAATATGATCACTGATCTGAAATGTCAAATGGTTTAACAAGAAACATTTTGTCTTGGAACCATCAGCATGAAGAGGCCTAGGAGATTATTTACATTCTTCCAGAAATACAAAATAAGGTTCATCCAGAAATGTTTGCAACATTTCTTCCCATAAGTTGTAAAGGCTCAAACTTTATGGATTCCAGTATTATCAGTCTACAGAGCAAATAAGGAGTGCAGCCATATTAACACTCAATGGAACTGATAGAATATACTCTACTCTCTACTTCCCAAATATTGGCATTTCAGCCCTTATGAAAATATCTATTCACTAGTTCATATACACATTGATGTTGTTACATGAGTTCTAAAGCATCTGAACATTTATTTCTTCTGTGCATCTTCTTTAGTTTCTATCTGGGTGGGATAAGAGCCAAGCTTAATTTGGCAATAAACTCCTCTATCTGGAAACCGTTAGTGAAAGTGGCAGACCAGGAAACAGTTTATGGCTAAGTTTGGCTCCTGAAAATAGGAGACAAAAAGGGAAGGAAAATGCTCGCACACGTTTTGCTACAAAGTATTTGGTAATGACAAAAAAATCTAGCAAAACTCCTTATACAAAAGAATGTTTAACTGCATTAGGCATCTGATTCAAACAGGGTGTAGAAATCAATTAAACAAAACAGCCAACTAGCTTTTTTCCTAACACATTTGCTTCAATATCAGAACAAAGTGATTACTGTTCAAAACTCAAGCCATTTTGGAATTTCAGCACAGTAACCTGAGAATACCTTTCTTCATATGTCACTTATGTGGTCACAAAAAAAACTGTATTAAATACACAATGTGATTCCTAGTTGGTTCTGACATTAGATGCTATGCACAACTTAAATAAAATCAGAAATTCCCGAACCAATGCTGACTTAGAAAACAAAAGAGGTTCCTGGAGAGAGTGGCTTCCAAAAAGGAAAGATTAAGATTTAAGGCTGAGTGGGAATGTTTGTTCCAGAAAGACATGGAGTGTAAAAGCTGGAATTAAGAAATCTGGACATGCTCTTTATGGAAAGATACAAAAGGAATAATAAAAATACTCTAAAGGAATATAAATTTTAGCTAAAGGGAAAATTACATAAATATTTGAGGAATACTTTGGAGCATAGGACTTACAAACTTGCCTAAGGACAGACAGAATAAAAATTTTGTTCTACTGATGCCCCAGTCCAATGTGCTGCCTTACAAAAGGGACACTTACTGGGAAGACTGGACAAGCTTAAAAAGAAAGCTGCTGACCACCCTGTGTTGCTGCTAGAGAGCTGGACATAGAGTTCTGTGTATGGCAGGTCAGTGCCATCAATCTGATGGAAGACTTCAAAATTTGCAAAACTAAGTTAAATATGCACGCCAAAAGAAAGAACCGTGTTTAAAATGTACACTCTTGTAGCACTACTTTCAACAGCGTACTTGTGCAAACAGGTAAAACAAAACCTTATTTATTTCATTCAAAATATTAAAGTTACTCTCTACTTGGATCTCATTTGCTTTCTGTAGGATTATAAGCAAGCAATTCTCTAACCCATAACAAAACACCTGTATAGTAAACTCTTAAATTTCCTGGGTGAAGTTTTCTCACTCTCTGGAAACTGAAAAAAAGGAGCTTTTCCATTCATGAGCCAATGCAAACACCTCCTCCTGCTCTTGCAATTCCTTCCTGACATACAGGTTAGTGAACACACATCTGGGAATACAATACAGGCTATTCCACCGTCAAATCCAACTCTTTGCTCCAGTAGAGCTGGCAGAGCTCTAAATATGACGAATATTATGCAATGAACACATAAAAATGTTTTGCTTGTTTTGAAACGATTTTTTTGTTTTTTTTTTTTGTTTTTGAGACAGGGTTTCTCTGTGTAGCTGTGGCTATCCTGGGACTTGTTGTGTGGACCAGGTTGGCCTCCAACTCAGAGATCCGTTTGCCTCTGCCTCCCAAGTACTGGGATTAAAGGTGTGTGTACTACCACTGCCCAGCTCAAAATGACTACCTTCTTAATGTAAGAATTTGGTTAGCCTCTACAGTCTCTCTACTTTTCTTTTTAAATCAACAGTTTCTTACATGTTTTCTTAAGTATAATATAATAACTGCAAGTAGATTATAATGCCTGCTTCCTAAGCGTAGTGTCACCATCTAACATGACTGGCTTTGTACATTTAGAATTTCTTCTGACATTTAGGATAAAAGGTATGACATCTATCGATGTGTTATTATTAACTATGACCAAAGTATTAAATAATGCTTACATATAGCACAAAACTAATAGTAAATATACCCCAAATTATAACTCTCACCACCATATATTCATGACTTTGGGCAGATAGTTGGATTTTTAAAAATAACAAATTGGTTTTATTACAAACTTCAGTTACACATATTAGAAAATTGTTTTACTTGGACCCTTTAAAAAATTATTAATTTCACCAAATCTAGAATACTGGCAGTGTAGAAGTCTTAAGCTAATGTTAATGCTGACAAGTCAAAGGCACAGTATCGACACATTTCAAACAGTGCTCACAAGACTTAGGAGGTGCTTTAGAGTGTCACCAAGCTACATTCTAAGCTCCCTATTAGTGACATAATCAGGAACGAAGCCCTTGATTATATAACTCACCAGTTTCTAAGACTAGGATTCTATTTCCCATAAGAAGAAAAGCTAATAATCACAACTCTACCATAAAATTGAACTCCCAGACCTTGAGAATGAGTGATTGATACAGTTTCTATACTTGATTAAAAAGATACAGGACACCAAGAAAGAATGAAAACTCATGGGAAGTGCAACAGAGGTTCTACTAATTCACTACTCTTGGCTCAAAATCGGTTACTTTAAGACTTTAGCCCCAAATGAACCTCAATGATGTGACAAGTGATAAAATGCTCTTTGCACTTGTAAACTGCCAGTACCCAGTAGTGGTCACAGGAGGAAATGTGTCTATCACAGTCTAGTACCCACCTTTCAATAGTGTCTGCAAACAGTAAATTCTCAATCATAAATGATAGAAATTAGTCTCGGGGTGCAAACCACCCTGGAGGAAAGTGGTCCGCCTAACAATGACAAACACAAGGAAATGCTTCACAAAGTCTCATTACTATGAAGATGATTTCCCCTTTGTTCAAACTGCACAAATGAAGAAGTTTTCTTTACTGCAGGAAACAAACTGTAAGTAACAGTGCATTTTTAGGCATAAATTAACTATTTATGTCTGGTTCCAGTATGGTCAGGTTAATACATAAACACTTTAGAAACACAGACGTTCACATTAGTGGAAAAATCCAAGTTTCTCCCGTAGCCATTCTTCAGTTAGGTCTTCAGTATTTCTTATTTCAAATACCTTAAGGGAAGGAAAAGAACAAACAAACTGAAGTCATTCCATCACCAAAAAAAAAAAAAAAAAGAAAGAAAGAAAGAAAAAAAAAACCCTAGATTGCACTGAATATTTGTTTTGCTCTGTTTTTCGAGACAGGGTTTCTCTGTATAGCCCTAGCTGTCCTAGAACTAGCTCTTGTAAACCAGGCTGGCCTTGAACTCACAGATATCCACCTGCCTCTGCCTCCCAAGTGCTGGGATTACAGGTGTGCACCACCAATGCCTAGCTTGCACTGAGTATTAAATACCATGTTCTGTTTCTTTCATATTGGTCATGACCATGACTTAATCTAAGTACATTAAATGTACCTTTTTGGCAATATCTAACATTTTAAGTGCTAAATACTTAATTTACCAAAGTGTAGCAATCAAGATGGCATAAAACCTATACACTCTTTTAAAACCACAAATTCTAAACAAGCACATACGTGCTAAAACCTTGTCCATTAGAAAAGACTATCAGGCATACATATCTAAAATCAACCTAGCTGGGAGCTGAAGAAACATAAAGCCAATCTTCCAGTTCAACATGTATCAGATGCTAACACCAGCTGCTGACTAACTTGATAAGACTGCACTCACAGTCCCTAGTTATAGTTCTCCAGCAGGAATCTGACTGCACGGTCCAGAGAGCAGGCTAGAGGAGATGAAGTATTAAACTACAGCAAACAGATGGGATCTGGAACCATATGTAAATCTGAACCTTAGCTCCAGCTAACACACAACCCGAGCAAGTCATTCATCTTCTGAACCTGCTTTTATTTTTACCCCTAAAACGACACTTGCATTTGTGTGTTTGCGCACAAGCACAGGCGTGCACATATGAGCCACAGTGTGTGTATGGAAGTCAGAGGGCAACTTGTAGGAGCCGATTCCCTGTGTTTCTACCATGTGTGTCCTAGGGCTCAAACTCAGATTGTGAGGTGGCAATTCCCATTATCCACTGAGTCTGTTTTCTTAGTTACAGAAATATGACTACCAATCTCAACACCTGTACAGAATGAGACTATAGACGTTAGAAAAGTAATGTGGAGCCGGGCGTTGGTGGCGCACGCCTTTAATCCCAGCACTCGGGAGGCAGAGGCAGGCGGATCTCTGTGAGTTCGAGGCCGGGCTGGACCGATAGCCTCCAAAACAATACAGAGAAACCCTGTCTTGTAAAAACCAAAAAAAAAAAAAAAAAAAGAAAGAAAAGTAATGTGGAGACTGTAATGTCAGGTCTAATACATCAGGGTGCAGACAGTATAAAAGACCTAGTATCTTCGTGGGTACCATGACCTTTTCTTTTCTTCTTCTTCTTTTTTTTTATAATCTCATTATGTGCCCCAAAGTAGCCTAGAACCCATGATCCTTCTGCCTTGGCTTCCCTAGCGCTCGGTTTACAGGCATGTACCACCACAGTTACAGTGGCTTTTCTGAAGCTGCTCACATTTTGGAAGTTATTTTTTTCTAATCAAATTATTTTAAAAACACATTTTGGTTCAAAGAGTACTAGGGTTCTCTTTCCCACTGATACAAAGCTTTATTATGTACCACAATAGTCTACAGGGCTTCAGTTACAGAAAGTATGTTTGCATTTGCACATGTCCAGCACAGACACTACCTTGGTTAGCTCAGCTGTCTGGACTAGCTTGTTCTTACTCCCAGCGTACATCATCTGCTGCTCAGGCTTGCATCCTGGAAAACATCAGCACAGAAACAAAGGGTAGCTTTTGAAGAGGGAATGGTTCCCATTACTTCTATCTTTCACAAAGACCTAGTTAGGATTTCCTTTCTACTGAGTTTTGCTGCAGAAGCTCCGGTCTAAATGTATAGGGCTACACTGTGATTCCTCCAGTGCACATTGTCTGCACAGAGACATAACAAATGCAAGTGAGCAGATCATTAGAAACGGCTCCAGTCTCCGCCCATCCTGATTGTCAGTCTTGGCACTTAAACTTTATTCAACACTAATGTAAATCTGATAGTACAAGGACCATCTTCAAGACTACAGACATATCACTGTAACTTAAAAAAAAACATAAGCATATTACCAAGGTCACACAAAGATCACACTTAAACAAGACTAAAATATTTATTTCTGATTCCAAAAGGTGTCATTGTATTTCTGAGTCACTACACTTGTAGGAATTAACCAGCAGAGGTAAGCACATTCCGAGAGATGGCACTTTACAGTGCCTGTTCTCTGCAGTGTACACATTGTGCACAGACACACATCAACTGACCTCAATATAAGCCATCAATAACTGCACCTTATAAATGGCAGAAATCTGTCTAGCAAACAAGGATCCGAGCCAAGTACACATTATTAAGGAAACTGACTTACCAACAGGACTGGAGAAAATAAAGCACAGAGGGTAAGAAACTCTTCCATCATCATGCTGATACTTATAACTATACACAATGAAGGTTTTTCTCAAGTTAAAGAAACTAAAGGCGCTGCTCTAGGACAGACAATAATCAACACCCGGAGCTAGTGAATGGCCTCATTCATTAAATTTACACCACACTTTGATATCGTTCTACAAACAGGCCCCAAAGGTAAATGATAAAGTCACACAGCCTCTCAAAATGTTGACTTTTTTTCTCAGTTTTTTTTTTACTATGTGCACATTAGACTAAAGAGAATTGTTTGAAAAAGAATTCCAATTATTACATCAACTTTCCTTTTTCTTGTCTACTGCATGCATATGTATTTTAACTTGGTTGTGGTCATGATGTGGAAGGGAGCTTTTAAGACGTTTTTAAACTTCTGAGTCAGCATAATGTAACAGTTTCATTCATTCTTTAGTGCTCTGCTCCCATTTGCCCCTCCATCCCCTGGCTGTCCTTCTCCCAACAGTCCCCACTCTGTTACAGTGCCATATAAAATACACCTTTTGAAAGCTTAACAAATGGGGTCATAAGTAAAAACCTGATGACTAACAACAATCTTTCCAAACCACTTAGAAAAGGATATCGAGGTTGCCGCTCAGGTAGTTCATCTTTAAGTTCATCTGGGGAGATGCCCTGGCACCACAGAGAAAAGAAACTGTGAAGCATGTCCTTACCCAAAGATTCATGCATTTATTATCATATCCCAAAATCACTTCCATTAACAAAACATAGGGCTGAAGGTCAGTGTTCCTCCTATGTTTATGTCCCAACTATCAGGAAACACTGTGCGACTGAGTGACATAAGCAGCGTCTCAGAGGAAGCAGTTAGATACATCAGCCACTCGTGACTGACTTTGGTTTGATACCGCTCTGTGCACAGCTCACCGGTTACGAAGCGGACTCCTCTTTACTAGGTACAGACTTCCAACTTCTATTTCCCACACTGGATCTCACCAATGCTTTAAGGCAGGCAGTTAAATCAACAAGACAACGTGGAACCAATAATTAGCCCATGTTTTTTCATGCATAATTAGCGCATATTTAAGGAGGTCCAGAACTTGCTTTAGTACATGTAACTAATATAACATTATTTGGACAACAGTCGATTAACTATAACAATAGTATTTAGCTCATTGAACAAACCTCAAGTTCCTCGTCCAGTACCACCAGGCGCTTATCCTTGTCAATCTTCACTACAAGAGAAGCACAGAAGAAGTGAAGAGTGATTCTAGGTGACCCTGACTGCCCATGCCATGCAGCTTTAGTCTATGGAGGAGGGAGCGCCTAAAAACTAAGGCATCAAGAAACACAGCATGAACGCATGTAAGAAGCAGCGTTTCCATTTGGGGGTGTAATTCCCAACATGGGCCTGCTTATTTAGAATCTTGTCAGCTCCTCACAAGACTGAGACTGTCAATATACAACAGGGTTAGAACTGCCAAAGAAAAGCTGACCAGGGCTCAGGAGAAAGAGATCCCAAGACACCCAGCTTCTCCAACATTACAATTCATGGCATATGATTATTAGTCTAAGAAAGTGAATTACCAGTTCCACCTCTTTTCAGATATAACTGGCATAATCCAAACCCAAATCAAAGAACTTAGGTGACCTATGCCTTTATTTTCTACCTGTCTAAAGAATCAACTACCTTTGAGTTTGTACTAAATTCACATTAAATTCTATGGACATATGATCACTTCAAACAGTCTCATCTGTTGGGATGAAAGGCACTATTACATATTTTCCCTATTAAGAACCATATGACGATTAAAAAACAAACAAAATAGCAAAAAGGGACTGGAGAGCAATGGCTGAATTCAATTCCCAGCAACCACAGGGCAGCTCACAACCATCTACAATAGAATCTGATGCCCTCTTCAGGCAAGTAGGGGTACATGCAGACAGAGCACTCATCAATTTAAAGAAAGAAAGGAAGGGAGGAAGGGAGGAAGGAAGGAAGGGAGGAAGGGAGGAAGGAAGGAAGGAAGGAAGGAAGGAAGGAAGGAAGGAAGGAAGGAAGGAAGGGCCCACATGATAGTATTTATTTTTTTAACAGAACCAAAACTCATGGTATGGTGTCAGCACCTGATTTAATGCACCCTGCCTGATGGATCTGTTGTGCAAAGTCTATACTTTTACATCTTCACCCTTAACCTTCATCCTTCTAAATGACTGCCCACAAAGTATCCACTAAACAAGTAAAGTGCTCTCCATGATACTAAAGTTTAGTGCAGAACTCTACCGTTTAGGTGTGGGCAAATGTTAGCCCTCTGAGAAGGACAAAGATCCACAGGTCACTACAAATGGGAACCCTCATTCCTCATGACCAAGACAGTCAGCTTCTCCCAGCTGAGTGGGCAGCTGACAAGGGGCGTGGGACTATCTATGGCCACAGCATGAAGAGCTGGTTAACTTGTAGAGGTGACAGTGACAAACACAGCAGGTGGAAGGAGAATCTAAGGGCTTGGCACATTCAAAGGAGCTTTAAGAGAACACAAACTAACATCACAGAGTTCGAGACAACTTTGGCTTACTTATAATGGCAGCATTGTGGGTTTCTTTTCGAAAACGAAACTTTCTCAGCTTTTCCACTAAGTCTTCAGCAACATCACAAACCACCAAAGACTCACTCTATAAGAGAGAGGGGGATACAGACACTTAAAATGTCATGACTTCAATATCTGTGCATTTAAAGAACTTTCAAATCTACCAACCTTGGCTCTACATGGATTAGTCATGCCTTTCATCCCTAATGTAAGCTTCACTTTAACTGTCTCTTCGGCTAACACATATTTCAAAAAGCAAGCACACACTAGTGAGCACTGCCCGTGAAGTGAGAGGAAGGGAGGACACGCGGAGGGGAAGGGCCGTCACTACGTCAGACCAGCAAGTGCAGCGGCTCCCACTGGGCGGCAAGAATGGGAAACCATTTTACTGTTTTGGAATTCCACGAAGAAAATAAAGATAAAGCTAACAGTAAAAACGAGGCATGTATATCTTAGTTGACCAAATACACACAACTAGCCATTAAGAATGTACAAAGGGAGGACTGGAGAAACGGTTCAGCAGTTCACAGAACTAGCTGCCTTCCAGAAGTCCTGAGTTCAATTCTCAGCAACCACACTGGTGGCCCACAACCATCTGTAATGAAACCTGATGCCCTCCCTCTTCTGGTATGTATAAAGACAGAGCACTCATGTACATAAACTACATATGTAAATAAATCTTTAGCATGGAGAGTGGTAGCTCATACCTTTGATTCCAGCACTGGGGAGGCAAAGGCAGAAAGATCTCTGTGAGTTAGAGGGCAGCCTGGTCTACAAAGCAAGTTCCAGGACAGTCAGAGCTGTTACACAGAGAAACCCTGTCTCAAAAAAAAAAACAAAAAACAAAAAAACAAAACTTGCCAGGTGTGGTGGTCCATGTCTTTGACCCTAGCACTTGGCAGGTAGAGGCAGGGGGATCTCTGTGTTTGGTCTACAGAGCAAGTTCTAGGACATCCAAGGCTATGTAGAGAGACCCTGTCTCAAAAAAGCAACAAAAGAATGTACAAAAAGGTAGGCGATATTCTGGTTACTGCCCAGCCCATTGCCCCTTGGAGCATACTCTATGTTTCCTTGAAAAAGAAAAACTGTACAAAAGCAAAAACAGATTAAATAAATATAGAAGCCAAAAGAAATGCTTAGAGGTTATGAAAAAATAAAGCTTTTCCCCAGAAATCTAGCAAGGAAATCATCAAATGCTTCCTTCTTTATTGCCACAAGCAAGAGGACAGTCATAGTTTTATATTTTTGTTTTGCTTGAGAGTCTTGGTAAGTAGCCCAGGTTGGCCTGGAGCTCACTATGTACCTCAGGCTGGTCTTGAACTTGCAACCCTCTTGCCTCAGATTCCTAAATGCTAGTATGTTACAGGGTATGATTATTACATCCAGGCTGTTTTGTTGCTGTTTAGTTAGCTGGTTCTCTCCTCGGGTGTATAGATGGTAATGATGTGTACATAGACACACATCTGTGTGAATTTGGGCATACATGTGCCACAGTATACACATGGAGATCAGAGGATGACTTTGGGTGCTAGTCTTAGTCTTTCACTATTTGAAGCAGGATCCTTTTGCATAATGTGTGTAAACATAAGCTGGCTGGTGAGCTTCTGTGCAGTCCCCTGCCTCTAGCTCCCACCTGGCTGCTGGATCACTGAGATTATAGACACAGGCTACAGTGCCTGGCTTTTCTTAGTCTCGGTGCTTCACTTTAAATAATACTCACCTACTGGCCTCAGCTTGTTTTTTTTTAAACAGAGGATTTTTTTTGTTTTTTTTGCCCAAGCTGGCTCAAACTTAAAACTTATGATCCTCCTCGCTTTAGCCTCTCCAGTAGCATAGGTATGGCAAGCGTGTTCCACCATGCCGTGCTATGATGTTTTTAGTAGGTAAAACTGAAAAAGCAGCCAGGCATGATGGTGCATGCCTTTAACCCTAGCACTGGAGAGGAAGAGGCAGAAAGATCACTGAGTTTGGGGCCAGTTGCAGCTATAGAGTGAGACCCTGTCTCCAAAACTGGGAAAAAATAAATGAAGAAACCTTCCAACATCTGCCAGTGTGGAGAATAGAGCAGTGACCCACGCATCAACCACTCAGCTCCAGTCACTACCATCTACATTTCACTGCCCACAGCACAGGTAACCAACAACACCCCATGCATGTCTTACCCAACGGCTACACACAAGTCAGTCACCTGGAAATACTGCACTAGTCGTCATGTGAAGATATCATGTGACACAGAAGCAAACACAGTAAAGCCGTTCTGCTCTAAAAACTCCCAGAATTCTAGTCTCCAGTACACAGATAGTGTTCGAATCCCCTCGCCATTTTATCTTTTTCAGTTGGCTTGAGTCAAGTCGCAAAAAGTTCACTTACTTTGGACTTTTCATATAGTAGTTTCTCCTGCTCCTTCAAGAAAATTTGAACACATCAGGACCTCAAAAGCATTAAGGCTTCCAATTTTAAGTTAAAAAAAAGAAAAGTAATGGAAGCCTAGGTACCTGATCCTCTGTTGGGTTAAAGACAGCATCCACTAAAGCAGGACATGGCTATCATCTTAACTTCCTTAAAATTCTAAGCTCTGGTAGTCAGCAGATGTGACATGTAGCGTAGGATGTGCACCTAGACAGCCAATTGGGAAGTCTACCCGGCCGAGGGGTGCGCTTCCTGGGCTAGGCACATTTAGTCTTCTATGTTTCTTTAGACAGAGGCCTGGAGCTAAGATTCAATCTTCTTTGATCAAAGATAGAATTAATGAAACTAATAAAAAACTTCTGATTTATATGTAGACAAACAAAACCAATTTGACACAGGAGTCTTACCTTTCAGCTTTGAGAATCAGAGCCACGAGTGTAAGTTTGACATCACTGGGCCAAAACCCCATGAAAACATGCTCAGTGTGTAACTGTTTGTAAGGTACTTGCCTCGTGTGACCCCCCAGCACAATTAAAAAGATGAGAACATGCTTTGATTTAATCTGTAATTCAGTTGTTTGCTCCTTCCCAATGCCACAACAAAGCCAAAAATTCCAAAGATTCAGGAACCAGGAGTGGTGGCACATGTCTGTAATTTCAGTACTTAGAGGCTAAGGCAGGAGGACTGATGTCTCTTCTAAAGAAGGAAAAGGTGAGCGGGAGGGGAGAGAAGGGAATGGACTCAGGCTTAGCCAACTCTCACTCTTGTTTACACTTGGAATTGTTTAAGAATGAGTACAAAGCCATAAAAACAAGTCTAGGTGGCAAATGGCATTAAAGGTAGTTGAGCTCAAACATTCATTTATTGGTGTATTCAGTAAACGAGTTCTGAATGAGCACCAGCACTGTGGTAAGTGCTAGCTTACACTATAGTCCAGTAGAGAAGAGACCTACATCAAAAAGACCTATGAGAACTGACGTGTGGAGAAGAACACCGTGGTCGCAGTAAAAGCCAGCGAAAGTGATTAAAGTGAGCACTGCAGCCCAAACCCTGAAGTGACAGTGTGACTCAGGTGCCACAAGCAGGAGTAATGGCCTGCAGGTACTCAGATTTCTATCCGATCAGCAAGTGTAAACTCAGCTTTAAGTGATATGTTTTAAGTAGGATCGTGGGAAGGCAAGCATGCCCATATTTGAATTTTGGTAAGATTATATTTGTTTTTATATGCAGTCAACAGGGAAGAACACCGAAGCCAGCAAGACCATTTCAGGTAAGAGATGACAAGGGGCTGAGAGGTTGAAGATCAGCATGAAAGAGGAGTAATCAGCTAGATTACTATGCATGTAGCATGAGGCTGACTCCTGCTTCATGTCCCAAGCCATCCATCTACACTAACACCATCCCCACTGGGCAGCAAGTGTAAGGCTTAGACGGGCTACAAGCATCTTCCCCCACATCTAAGACATACAGGTAGTGGATCCAGGAAGCAACTATGCCCAGCTGCACTTAGCCACTACATAGGAATTGGGCTAGATTCGTTATGAAGGAAATAACGGCCTACAAAGGTAACTTCTCGACTTCTGGCTTGTGAACACACACAAACGGCACCTTTAAGCAAGTTACAGTATTCTGGCTGAGTGAAGACCAGAAGCGAGAGGGAAACTATGAGTTCTTTTTGAACAAACCGAAAAGTCTCTGTAGCATCTGTGTGGTGAAATGCTTCCCGAGTATATTAGCCAAAAAGTGGAATATACCTTCTGGTTGGATCTCAGAAGTAAGGTCAGAGATACGAACTCACAAGTCAACTCAAAGTAGGTGGTAACCAAAGCCAGGAATTCAGCAAAGACACATACAGTGGAAAACGAACCCTGAGGACGGAGCCTAGGGCTCTTATGGGCACAACCCAGGAAATGGAGAGGGAAAACAGATGCATCAGCAGAAGTAGGAGGAAAGCCACGAGTTCTGAATCCCAGAAGCCTAAGGGGAAGCTCCACTAAAGGAATGCTTCAAACAGGAGTGTCAACACCCTGGAATGTGGCTTTAGGGTCGTAATGCAGAAAACCCGCGAGTTTCCTGGCTTCAATGACCACGGCAAGACCTGATAGAAGCTGCTGGCAGCTAGATGCAAGTGATTCCCGAGAGAGGAGTTACAGATAGCAATAGTGTTTTCCTGCTGCTGTTTCCGTGGAACTTGGTCGTATTCAAAAAGCGCCTCGGGAAGGATCCAGAAGATCCTCGATGGCAACTGACTTAATTCTCTACTTCATCTTTACGCTTAGGGTTCATTGTCAAGGGGAACAGAAGTCACGGCCCGAAGCACAGGAAAACTAAATCTCTGACAGCTGCTTAAGGGAGGAACCAGGGAGCCTCGGGTCCCCTGGGTTTCCAGTGGCGTCGACTTGAAGAACGCAGGGATCAGGAGCTACTCAGCGGGAAACTGGGGGGGGGGGGAGTGCAAGCAGACGGAAACCCCGGCGAGGCCAGAATGCACTCTGATCCCAAGCACTCCCCCCCAACGCCCAGGCCCAGCCCGTTCCGCCGCGGGGACCACCAGGGCCAGACCCCTGTCCACGCGGAGGCCACGTTCCAACCGCCGGCCCGCGGCGCGGGGGCCTTCCAGGCGGCCGAGGGAAGCCGGCGAGCCCGCCCAGGCCCGCGGTGCCGCCCTCCGCCGCCACTCACCATTTTCCTTCCGGCCGTCAGCGGCCCGTCGCCGTGGGATCTCTCGGGCCCCTTTAAGAATGGCTCCACAGCCGCCTCCCTTCCTGCCTCGGCTGGCGCCCGGCTCGGCCGCCCCCACCTGACTACGCGGCCTCTGCGGCCCGCACGTGACGGCGGGCGGCGGACGGCGGGCGGCGAGGCCCAAAATTGAGCAAAACGCGCATGCCGACCTCCCCTCCGCCCCTTAAGGAAGGACGTTCCTCCCTCCCAGTTGCCACGGAATGAGCCCGACCTCGGAGCGCAGGCTCTTGGTACTTTCAAATTTTCTACAAGCCTCAGCGGCAGGGATTTCATGATGACGAACCCGGGTCAATGGTTTTAATGGTAAATGTGCGTGCAGAGTACAGCGTACTTCCAGATTTATGTTTTCCAATGGTGGGCACGGCTTCCATCCTTCTGCCTGCCCCAGAGATCCATTCCTGACCGTCTGTGTCCCAGCAGTTGCTGAATACATTTCTTTTCCAAGCAGTATTCATATACTGCAGTATGAGTAAATGGTGATCAGTGTTGATTATGCGGGCTCTTTCTTTGAAGTCACTGCCAAATTGAGTTCTGAAACTAAAGTATGACACGCAAACCTATGGCCTTTTTATCTTATTACTATTACGGAGATAAATTTGTCCTTCTATGAAAGAATATGAGGTAGAAGAAAGACTATGTGGACGAAAGGGTTGGCAGCTGTACGAAAAACAAAATCAGAGATTTTTAAAAACACTTTAATATTTTGTATCCCGTTGGGACTTTCTCCTTGGTAATCCAGAAGTAACTATTATCCTCAAAAATTTTATAGAACTGTGGCATCAGAAATTCAAAAAAAAGAAAGAATGGGGATTGGAGAGATGGCTCGGCTGTTAAAAGCACTGGTCCTCCCTCTGGGGACTCTGGTTGGATGACCAGAACCCATCCACATGGTAGCTTCCAGTGAACTCCAGCTCCCAGGGATCCAATACACTCTTCTGGCCTCCAGGGCCACTGCATACACGTGGTACAAGCAGGCAAAACGCCCATACACACAAAGTAATAAAATAATTTAAAAAATAACAGAAGAATGGAAGGAAGGGAGGAAAGAAGAAAACCGAAGAGTAACTCTGAGTTCTAAAAGTAGAGTTTTGAATCTCCATAACATGATCATATTAAAAACCCAGACATTTCCTTTTCTTTTATTTCTACTTTTCTTTAGTTAATTAATTAATTAATTAATTTACTTTGCATGAGTGTTCTGTCTGTATGTACACCTGCATGCCAGAAGAGGGCATCAGATCCCATTATAGGTGGTTGTGAGCCATCACATGGTTGCTGGGAATTGAATTCAGAACAGCCAGTGCTCTTAACTGCTGAACCATCTCAGCAGTCCTAGAAGACTACACATTTTCAAGAAGGGGTGTCTTGTACAATTCTGAAGTTCTATTAGCATTTTTAAAAATCCAGACATTGGCAACAGTAAAAGTGGGACTTTCTGTACTCCACTCCTCAGGGAAGCTGAGAAAAGGTCATTAGCAGGAAGGAAAAACATTCTGTTTTGGAACTGTGTCCTCTGCAAGAGCAGCCAGGGCTATAAACCACTGAGCCATCTTTCTAGCCTCGTAAGTCACCATCTTAAAAAAAGGTGTGGGGGCGGGGAGATGGAGAGATAACTCAGAGGTTAAGAGCACTGACTGCTCCTCTAGAGGCCCTGAGTTCAGTTCCCAGCAACCACATGGTGGCTCAGAACCATCTGAAGTAGGATCTGATGCCCTCTTCTGGCATAAATGTGTACATGCAGATAAAGCACACATATACATAAAATAAATAACTCTTAAAAACAAAACAGCAACCTTCGCACTCCCCCATCCTCCACACATACTCTAAATTCTATAGAATCAGTACCTAAAAGGCCATACCACCCTACTTTTATTCTCAGTGGTAGGGAAAGTTTGAAGCTTGAAGTACTCTAATTTGAATTAAGCTTAAGTTTTGAGGGGAAACTTGCCAGATCTTTTTTTTTTTTTTTTTTTTGGTTTTTCGAGGCAGGGTTTCTCTGTGGCTTTGGAGGCTGTCCTGGAACTAGCTCTTGTAGACCAGGCTGGTCTCGAACTCACAGAGATCCACCTGCCTCTGCCTCCTGAGTATTGGGATTAAAGGCATGTGCCACCACTGCCCGGCAAGACTAGCATTCTAATACTTAAAAAAGTAGCTGCAGGAGCCGGGCGTTGGTGGCGCACGCCTTTAATCCCAGCACTTTGGGAGGCAGAGGCAGGTGGATCTCTGTGAGTTCGAGACCAGCCTGGTCTACAGAGCTAGTCCAGGACAGCCTCCAAAGCCAGAGACCTTGTCTCAAAAAATAGAATGCAAAAAAAAAAAAAAAAAGCAAAAAAAGAATGCGAGCAAGCACGTGACTTCCTTCAGTAGAGTCTGTAGTGTCTTCAAACTCCTTTGCAGCTAACTTGGGACACAAGACAGTGGAATGTGTGGTATGTCCCCAGAATCTTCTTCAATGGAAGTTGTCTCTCAGCTTTCCTCCTCCACACTAGCCGGGGTGCAGATATGATGGTAGTCCCTGGATCAACCATATTAGCAGGGGTGCAGACATCATGGTGGTCCCTGGATCAACCATATTAGATCATGAAACGATCTGAGGAATAGGGGCCTGAACAGTGGAACCAAACAGAAGGAGTCTGGATTCCAGAATACAGTTTTGGCTTCTCATTGCCACATCTGGACTTCCAGTGGAAATTGTGATTATGAGATCTCTGTTGGTTTCTGTTTTTCACAGAAGAGGAAAAAAACCTCTCCGCAGAATCTACTTTTCTAAAAGTCCTTGTCACTATCTTAATCAGAATTGCCAAGATTTCTTGCCTGGCCTTTTGAAATAATCTAGTAGTTGGTGTTGTTACTTTGTTTCAGTTAGAAAGGCACTGAGATGGAACAAGAACTAAGATACATTAACCATGGAGTTTACTAAAGGGCGGGGAGTGAGAGAGGGGGAGAAGAGAGAGAGATAGAGAGAGGTAAGAGAAGAGAGAAGGAGCGTGAGAGAGTGAGAGAGAAAGAGAGCAAGTAGAGTAAGAGGGAGAGAGTGAGTAAAGAGAGCTTAAGTGGGCGGGGTCTATCTTTTTCCGGGGTCCTTTGCACCTGCGTGCAGATTGGTTCTCATGGAACCCTGGGCTGGCCAGAGTGCTGCCTGAGTGCATTCTGCCAGGTAACAGGGACAGGCCTGTATGATGCCCGAACCTTTCCGTTGGTGATCCATCATTTACATACACCCTACTGTCCTTCCCTTCAGTTGTACGCTAGCCATAGTGATTTATTGAAAATTTAGATACACTACCAGCCTTGTTGTTCTTAGGGTACATGTAAGCAGTTAAAATGCAAGACCCCTATTTGTCCAGGGCCCAACCCTTCTCCTAGTTGTCCATACCCACCCACCCTAACCTTTCAGCTTCTCAACTTCCTGTCTCAGGGCCTGCGTCTGTGCTACACTGGCAGGTGTGCCCAACCTCTTGACATTGCAACACAATGTTATCATCTACGAACTTCATGCTGGAGAACTGCACAATTGAGCTAGGAAACACACAAACAAACATTCTTTCTGTCTCCCTCCAGACAAGGTTTGACACAACCCAGGCTGGTTTTATTCTCACAATGTAGCCAAGTATAACTTTGAGTTTCTGATAGTCTGGCCTCTGCCTCCCTTGGGCTGGAATTACAGAAATGCACCACTATGCCTGCTTTTACTTAGTACTGAGAATAAAGTCCTGTGTATATGTTTGATTGGTATAAATAAAGCACTGTTGGCCAATAGGGAAGCAAGATAGGTAGAACTAGGAGTCAAGGAGGATTCTGGGAAACACAAGCACAGTTAGTCACGATGTCAGACGAGGGAGAATTAAAAGGTTCAGAACCGGGCTGGAGAAATGGCTCAGAGGTTAAGAGCACTGACTGCTCTTCCAGAGGTCCTGAGTTCAATTCCCAGCAACCACATGGTGGCTCACAACCACCTATACCAAAATCTGGTATCCTCTTCTGGCCTGCACACAGATGTGGAGGTAGGATGTTGTATTCATAATAAGTAAATAAATAAATAATAAAAAAGAGGTTCAGAACCTTTCTCTGGTAAGAGACATGGAAATACTCAGATTAGCAATTATGGGTTAAATATTAAGTCGGAGCTAGTCGATAAGAAGCCATAGCGAACGGCCAACAGTTTCATAATTAATATAGTGTCTTGTGTGTTATTTGGGGGCTGAAACCGTGGCAGGGCCTAGGCGGCTGGTGGGAAGACTACACATTACAAAACCTCAGACTTTAAGTATGCTGGTAAGTATTTGGTCAACTGCATCCATAGACGTCATACTCTTTATGTAAGCGTATGGTCTTTTGTTATTGGGATGCAACTATAGCTATCCTTGTCTGTTTGCATCCTGCAGGAACAGGCCTGGATCTTCCCCTCCTGTTCCTTAGACTGGCAAACCTGTTTCTGTCAGATATCATGTCAAACAACTGTTTTATATCTACCTTATATTTTTCCCTATCCCCCATTTTAAGTCCAGATAGTCCCATGTACCTCTTTTTTTTTAATCTTTAACTTTTTATCTATTTATTATGTATACAGCTTTCTGCCTGCATGTATCCATGAGTTCAGGACCTCTGGAAGAGCGGTGGGTTCTCTTAACCTCTGAGCCATCTCTCCAGCCCCATGCACCTCTTCTAACAGAACTTGTCGTTTGCATTTATTTTGTTGAAAGCTCTTTGGTTGATGTTTATCTTTTTCCAGTAGACGATGTGTTGGTTTTTAAATCACAGTGACAACATTCCCCATAGAAGGAGGGTTTATTTGGCTCATGGTTTCAGAGATTTTTAGCGTATGCCAGCTGACTATATTGCTTCTTGGCTGTGGTAAGGGCGGAATATCATGGCAGGAGGGTATGGCAGGTCAGAGCTGATCATCCATAACATCTAGGAAAGAGCTAGAGAAAGGGAGAAGATAGAGTTCCCATGGCTATTCTCCCAGTGACCTGCTACCTCCAATGAGACCTTACCTCTGAGAGATCCCACTACCTCATAGTAATGCCATCAAACTATGAACCCATCAATAGGGTTATTCT